GGCCAGGCTGGTCTCAAACTCTTGACCTCAAGTGATCCTCCCACCTTGGCCTCCCGAAGTACTGGGATTACAGGTGTGAACCACTGCACCTGGCACTTAGGCACATTTGTAACTTCATTTTTCTCAACCTCCTATTCTTTTGTTGCTAAGGACTATTGAAGAAATATAATTTTTTGGTTCTTTTTTGTTTTGTTTTGTTTTTAGTTCTCCGTGGTTTGAATACAGATCATTAACTTTCTCTGGACTCTCATTATGACTTGAGCCAAGCTCCAGTCCCAATCTTCCAAGAAGAGATTTTTAAATCAACCTTGTTTTTAATTCTTTTAGATTTTTAGATGTGGACATTGACTCATTAATTCAGGCTATTTCCCAGAGATGCTTCTAGAGATTTTCTTCTTCCTTTCAAAAAATTTTAGCAACATTTCCTTTCAGTAGTTCCTTGGAAAAGTTTCCAAAATTATTTCTCTATAGTCATTAGAGTTGGCAGGTAGCATAGAGATCATATTCCAACCAACATCAAAAACTGCATTTCTGTCAGATGGTGATTAGGTCTCTGCTTCTTTAATGGTTAAGAACTTGATGCTGGAGTCAGTCTCACTGAGATCAAATCCTGGCGTCAGCGGTTACTAGCTGTGTAACTTTGGATATTTCTTCTGCCTTTGTTTTCTTATCATAAAAACGTGCATTATGATAGCCCTGCCCTGCAGGGCTGTTGAAAGGATTAAATAAGGTCAAATACATAAAGAACTTTAACAGTTTGAGTTGTGGAATATGTGAAGTTTCTTCTTCATTTTGCCACAATGATAATTACTAATATTTTCAACACTTATGATACCATTATGAATAGAATAATGAGACCAATATTCTACCCCATCAAAGATGACCTTTTTCTTTTCAGCCACAGTCTCCTTCTACTACAAATCCTTCTAAAAATTTTATACAGATTAAATCCATTGTATAATAAAGTGTTGAGAAAAAAAGGAGACAAAATAAGAAAAAAAAAAAATGAAGTGTAGCCTAGGAAGAAATAAAGATGAAGGGGTATATAAGGTGTAGGAAGAGAAAAGTATGGAGTACCTTTGAGTATGGGTATGTGGACATGGAGGAGGATCTTTTTTCTTACCCATCGGCACGCTCTGGCTGAGGCACCTGTAATAAAAGACGTATTGATAAGATTAAAGCATACAAAGGTACTTGTAAATTTGACGTGACATAGGAGCTATTAGAAATGGAAAACCCTGTGTGTGTGTGCGTGTGTGTGTGTGTGTTTTTAATGGAATATTTGATGAAGTGGATAGCTGTGGAGAAGTACGATTCAAAAAAAGGGGCATAATCTAATGATAATCAACTGGGGGAGACTTAGTGACGCCTGTGTTT